GACATTTTCTCGAGAAAACTGAAAAATCAAAAGCTTCGATAGAAAGAAAAAGATTCTTTGAGATTTTTACCAGATTGTGTGTTTGAATTAATGGAAAGGATATTTAGGTTTATATAAGGAGACGAGGTGCTTTTGTGTTTTTGTTAACAATAAAATTGGGAGATTGTGGATCGTTGGATCTTAGTTTATCGACTGTTGTTATTGTCGATCCGCGTCAGTTTATTTGGGACATTATGAACCGTTGGATTTGTTTGCTATCCGTGCCATATGCTTAGAGTGAATCTAAGCCGTGGATCTTTGCTAGACTAGGGTTTACGAGCGGGAATTAGTAATCCAATTTTTTTTCACGAAAATATTGTGTGTTTTCTTTTTTGAAATCTGGTTATTTTCTTATTGGTGTGTTTGATTAAACATCATTTACTCTCTTTTTTAACTGAAATGGGGTAAAAACAAGAGTATTTGCACTCAGTATCAACCGATTTTGTTTGGGTTAGATACAATACAACTATAGAAAGAACTGTGAGGTTAAGAAATTTATATCTACAGTATTATTATGACTGATTCAAGTTTTGTTAAGGTGAGATACTGAGATTAAAGAAAATTTCGCTATAAATTGGAGTTTAGAGGAAATAGTTATCAAATGTCATGACCCCAATCAAAAGTTCATATTTCTTTCTGCCATTGCATTTTTAGGGGAATAGAGATTCAAGTGAAACTTCAATGGTACATTCTTGAGAATTACATTTATGCCAGTATGACAATTTAGAGAATTTTATAAGGTAAGGCTCATTATCAGTATTTCAATAAATTCAAGAGATATAAAAGAAAATAAATGGTCAAAAGTGGATATAAGTTTAAACGGATAGGATAACAACTAGTCTCGGACAAAACTCTGTTTAAATCCCAAACTCTAACAAAACGGAATACAAGAAGTTTAGTAATCAACTTGATTCTGCAACAAGAAAGCAAACAACTCTTCATGAGATATCCAAAACTTAAGACCATGCTCACTTCTTCTTCTCAGTTTTATCACCACCAGACCTGAGTGGACAAAAACAGAATCCCAAAATCAGTATATTACTAACAAAAAGTATTGTGTTTTGGAATTAAGAAGCACAAATTCAACAATCAGTTTGGCTTTTGTGAAGACTGAAATGAGATCTGGTTAAGTATTCAAGCCTATGCATCTTAGTGTTTATATTATACCATAAGAATCATCGAGAAAATTCTCAACAAGAGACATCAAATAGAAATCTTAAGAATGAGAGTGTGAGAAAGGAAAAACAAGAGAGAGAAGATTTAGGATCTACCTCATCTTGCGGAGAACGCTAGACATTTCCTCTCTCTTTCGCTTGGCTCTCTTGTGAGTACCCAACTTCCTCTTAGCAACCTTAAGAGCCCTCTTGTCTTTCCCAACCTTGAGAAGCTCAGAGATTCTCTTCTCGTAAGGGGCAAATCCAGCAACTTCCCTTATCAGTGATCTGATGAACAATGTCCTCTTGCTTGTTTTCT